GAATGAATTAAGTTCTTAACCCGAGTTACCACTGTAGCTCTCTTCTGCCTCCACTGTCAGATGCAGGATGCCTCAGAGTACCACTAGCTGGGTACTAGGAGGGTGCTATTGCACTCATGCCCTCCTTGTGGGCTTTCCATAGCCATCTTGTTGACCATTGTGGAAACAGAATGTTGGACTAGGTGGTGGATGTCACTACATTACATGCTGAGGATGAAAGTTGGAAGTTTCTGGATTGAAAACACGTGGTCTCTGTTACACACACAAATACACAATCTACCCCTCTCATTTTGTGATCAATTGGTAACAGAAAATGCACATTAAGAGCTGTAAAAATGACAGTACAGGTTCCTGGTCACAGACGAAACTTCTGACAAAGATGTAGAGCTTCCTTTCACTGTCATGCATAGCAGATCTCCAGCCAAGGTCCATGATGACCAGCCACTCAATTCTATGTGTGCAACCAGGACTGCTTGCTGTAAGAGCCTCTGCCCATTGGAAGTAGCTCAAGCTGCAGCATAGACATTACCAACTAGAATCCTGGTCCTAGAAAGCACACGATTCTCAGAAAGCCAATTCCCCCCCTTTCTTTGTCTGTGAAAAAGTTCCAGGACCCACTGCACCCTCTCTCAATCTGTGTAGAACATCTTCTTGTAAGAGTCCAACAGGTTAGCTCTCTGCCACTAAGCAGGCTTGTAGCCAACTTGTTTGCGGGTTTGGTAGCTTGCCTGCCTGCTTCTTTCATAACCTCTCTGCTCCAGATTTTTGTGACCTCTCTGTATGTGATTTGCAGCCCCTAAGCATCACTCTTCTTTGCACACACATGCATCTAATTAATTTTTATTCTATTTATTAAATTTATATACAGTGATATCTCAGTTTAAGAACAGCCCTGTTTATGAACTATTCGGTTTATGAACTCCCCAAAACCGGAGGTAGTGTCCCAGTTTGTGAACTTTACCTCGGTCTAAGAATGGAATCTGAACGGTGGAAGGGCACTGGCAGCAGGAGGCCTCATTAGGGAAAGTGCACCTCGGTTTAAGAACGGTTTTGGTTTCAGAAGGGACTTCCGGAACGGATTAAGTTCATTAACCAAGGTACCACTGTACTACCCTTCAACTGAAGATCACAGGGTTGCTCACAACACCTGACATTTCCACATTTAAATTGGCAACTTCTGAGAGGAAGAAAGGTATATGCCATCTCAGAATATTGTTGTCCTTCTGCAGATCTTCTTCACACTTCTCATAGGAGGGCACTCATTTCTCATATGTGAGTCTCAATTTGATTTCAACTATTCGAGGGGGTGGGGATGATGGTAATAGAAAACAAATCTGCATTAAAGGGGGTTTCATTTCTTCTTTACATCATCTCTCCTCCGGGGAGATTTGAGGTTCTCAAGAAGCTGGGGTGCTTCCTCCACAAACTCCTAAACAAACTTCAAATAGGTCATCCCTTTGAATAAATATATATATATGAAATTTACTAGTGTGCTGTGTGCATTACCCATATATTCTGTGTTGGCAATACAGAAGTGCCTCTAGCTAACCACCAAAATCCATTCATGGCTGATCAGCTTCTGATGGATCTAAAGTGACAGTAAATCGCTGCTTCTTGGGTTAACTACTAAAGGACGGAATTACACGCCACCTTATTTTAGCAGTGAGAAAGGGCACCATGGTCTCAAAAACAGAGAAATTCCCCCACGAGCCCTGTAGACATGGGAGGGATGTCCTCTGAATGCCTACAACACCGGAGGTTATTAACATCTGGTGGGTCAAGTTGCAAGTTGCACAGAGCCTCCTAGCGCCACCTAAGGGTGGAGCAGCCCAAACTACGTTCAGTTCATGCTTGTTTGCATAATCCCAAATGACAGCAAGTTGGCAGATTCAATCTAATTGGTCTTGACTTAGGACCAATAAATATCCCACTTGCATCAGTAGCTTTACCTTCAATGTGTGATTCTAGTTCGGTTTTGAATGTGGAATATGCATTGCATTTCCTGTATCAATGCCTTATTGCTGGGACATGTGAAATTTCGGTCAAAATATGAAATATGAAATGGTATATAATTTAACCATCTGAAGACATCTGAAGGCAGCCCTGTTTAGGGAAGCTTTTAATGTTTAACAGACTATTGTATTTTAATATTCTGTTGGAAGCCGCCCAGTGTGGCTGGGGTAACCCAGCCAGATGGGCGGGGTATAAATGTTATTGTTATTGTTATTATTTAATAAACACAATAAGAGTTTGTTGGATCAGATCCAAGGCTCATCAGACTCTACATCCTGTTTCCTAGAGTGGCTAAGTCAACCTTTCACTTCTGTGAAGTCTACAAGCCTACAAGAAGGCAAGACTGTTTCCTGTACACCATCTGAACAGATAGGTCCTTTACGGTAATCATGGCAACTAGCTTTGGGTAGACCTGTCATTAATGACCTTGTTGATGGCTAGGGGGCAGGATGCCAAGGGTGAAGCTTTTCTGCTCTGCAAACATTTTTGCCCCTCTCCATGACCAGCTGCAAATGAATTCTTCCAAATATGCAAATATATAGACTTTACTAGGGCTGAGCACTACATTTGACCAAATTCCAAACTGACTTTGTGGGAATCTGGGCTTAGGTCCAAACAGCCCAAGATTGGCCATCCTGAATGATCTAGGACTGTTGAGGGGTAAAGTGTTAGGTGGGAAGACTGCAGAAGTCTTCTCCACCAGGCTGTTCCATGCAGGAAATGAGCAGGAGAAGCTGACCCCAGCAGGAATGTACCCTTCTCTTCTTCCTCATGAGAGGGGTAGAGAGGACACTGTATCCATTTCCTCTGCCCTCCCAACTATATATTTAATTGGGACTAAAAAGAACCCTAATTAAACATTAGCCCCACCTGTCCTAGGTCTCCTCCTCAGACTCAAAGCTTGACCCATCCCCATGACTTGAAGTTTTAAAAGCTGTATTGATAGATTCAGAACAGTTCCCAGCATGGGGTTAGAGGTTACAGGCAGGTGAAGCACGGTAGCTAAGAGACATTGATCCAACGATTGACATATACCCATGCTCTCCCTTTGAAAAGGGGTGTGGGCATGACTATTTGCATGGTTCACATCCTGAGTCTTTCAAATTCATACAGGGGACACACCTCTGTAGAGGCTGAGGATAATGCATGGCTTGCAGAAGAGCACTTTTCCTTCTGCAGTTTCCAGCACCTGATATTCAGAAGCATTATTGTCCCTGACCATGGAGGAAGAAGATAGCTACCATGGTTCCTTGCCATAGTTACCCTTTTAGCCCACACAGAAGGAGATGCCCTTTTACAAACAAGACTTTATAAGTCAAAATGCACTTGGTATGTTTCCTGAAGCACATCTCATCTTCTTCAGCATATTGAGGTTTAGGTCAACCATACCTATGCATTTCATTGCTGTGGTACAATCAGCACTTGACAGATATGTACACCCAATTAGCACAGCTAAATATGTTAAAATGCATTCACATGATATTATGCATTGTGTCTATTTTTAAGTGTTGTGAAGTCACGTAAAATTCTTTAGTTGCATTCTATATCGCAAAGCCCATAAATGTATTTTTTTGTAAAGCTTTAAAATCCTTATCTCTCTCTCTCTCTCTCTCTCTCTCTCTCTCTCTCTCTCTCTCACACACACACACACACACACACACACACACACACACACACAGTGGTACCTTGGTACTCAAATGGCTTGGCTCCCAAACAAATTGGCTCCTGAACGCCACAAACCCGGAAGTGAGTGTTCCGGTTTGCGAACATTTTTCGGAAGCTGAAATCCGACACAGCTTCCGTGGCTTCCACTTGAGTGCAGGAAGCTCCTGCAGCCAATCGGAAGCCGCGCCTTGTTTTTCAATTAGATTCCGGAGTCAAACAGACTCCCAGAATGGATTAAGTTCGAGAACCAAGGTACCACTGTGTGTGTGTGTACACACACACACACACACACACACACTGATGTTCATTTAGTACCTTTACTCCTTGATCCTTTGTTGATTCTTTTCTCTAGACCTGTAGCCCATGCATTTCATAATATAAGATGCCTCTGGATGATTTTTTGCCACATCCGGACATAATGGGTGGATTATTCCCAATACATTAGCAGGAAGCTGACACCATGAGGCAGTCAGGCCCAGTGATGATCCCCTTCTGCTCAAGGGACTCTTTTCTTCATTTGGACTGCAAAGATTCTGGCTTCATGGTGTTCTCCAGATTGTCCACCCATATCAAAGAAAAAAATATGAGAGGCCACCGCACTGATGGCGAGGAACAAGGTCTGCTAATTACCTGTGCTTCACTCTTGATATGTAGAAAGTCGTTTAGAACAGATGCTGTCGTAATTAGAATGCACTGGGGAAATTAAAAGTGTTCAATGGCCCTCAACTCCTCACATTCACTGCTCATGGTGTTACTGTTGCTAAAGTGTGTTAAAAACCATTTGGGAGAATCGACTAACTTGACACCTGCTATTTCCCCCCCCCCTCTCACCTCTTCTACTCAGTGCTTTCCCTGCTTATTTGCCTTTCGCATCTGTCTCGAAGAATGCATAAAAAGAAAGGTGCAGTCTGTGAGAAATGGGTTACCTACAAAGAATATCATTTCAAACAAGCAAACACCAAGATTTACAACACACATGTGAAGTACTATGGAGCCACTTTAAATTTTCATACATCCCTCTCCCAAAGAATTCTGAGAACTGTAATTTCTTTAATGTGCTGGAAGTTGTTAGGGGATCCCCTATAACCTAATAAGAGCTAGATTTCTGAGAATTCCCTGTGGGGAAGGAGGAATTGTTAAACCACTCTGGGAAATGGAGCTGTGGGAGGGGAATTTAGGAGGGGGGTGGTCTCCCCTGTTTGGTGGGAAGAAATGGCTGCAGAACTGTGAAACAGAGAAATAAGCAACTGAATAAAGACAACAAGAAATAAAATAAAAGCAGCAGCAGCAACAACCAACCAACGATCATCCCCAAAACTTACCATTGATGAAAATTCAGCTCTGCAGCAATGGGGTAGAATGCAATTAACTGATTTCTCCTTCACCACACCTACAAACAGACTGTGTTGCAAGAGCAAATTTACAAGTCAAGAAGCTTCACAGTACAATGAGTTGTAGGCTGACAACTTTACTTCCAATCAGCTTAATTATACAGAAGCAAGCGAAATGACAGAGCTATTTTGTGGATGCCAGCCTGCTGCGCACAATGACTCAAAATGGGGGGAAAAGCAACTCATCGGCTTCATATCAGCTTACGTCTGCCTGTACCTGTGTCAGGATGACTGGCAGGGGCTGGCTTAGGAGGATAGAAGAGCATAAGAGCATTCACAGACCCCCTTATAGATGGGAAGCAGCAACATCTTCAAATATTTACCCCTACATACAGCCAGTGCCTCTTTTTACCGTGGCCTTTCCCACGTGGGATATATACATGGCAGCCATAATGTCACTGGCTCCAATAGCAAAAATTCCAAATGTGTCCAATGGACCCCAAACACTAGTGACCCCTGACTTTACTGCACCACTGTGGGAGCACCTCATCTATGATGACATTCTCTCTCCATGAATTTTGTACATACTTGTGTTTAAAAATTATGGTTAGACACACACACAGAGAGAGATACACCCTTCAAATCTAATGCTCATTAAATCAGCATTTTTGTATTTCATTGAAATGTTTTTAATTGCTCGATCTAACCAATTAATTGACTAAACATCGCAGGCACATTAGTTAATTAATGAGTAAGATGATGCGGCAGGTTTCCTGCTGTTGTCCAACTTCCTTGGCCCCGCCTGATATCATACCTGCCTCTCGCCAAAACTGTAGTCAAGCTTCTTGAAAGGGATCTCATGTCATCCATCATAAATGAGTTCAAAGCTGAACTTGGATCATGTGGAATGAATAGCCTGCAATGAGCTTTATGAAGTGTCCAGCTCCTCGTTCGCTGTTGCTCTCGTCTGTCCACGGCTGGAGCGGAACTGATGTGCCTCTAGACTGAAATATGTAATGGTTGACTTCGGGGAAGCTCTAATACATTTTTCATTCCGATGAAATACTAAAAGTTACAACAGAATGCCTTTTCATATAAAGTATTTAGATTTATGGGCAGGAGAAGCTTGCCTGAAAATTGCCGGGGTGTTTGTCCATTACAGTGTTTTAAAGAGAATGCTTTTAGCACACCAGGCTTGCAGTCTTTATTTCTTGATGTTCCACAAAGGTCTGACTCTCTGAATAACTGTATCAAGTTAATAGGCGCTCAATGAATAGTGCATGGCTTAGATGCATTTTCTCCTAGTATCCCAAGAATGGGAGATTCTGCAGTGAAATAAATAACACAGCATAGCAAGCAGGTCAGCTCTCCTCTCGTGCACCATTGCATTGTGTGACAAGGATCACATTCACTGCATCTCAAAAAAGTGGAACTAGGAGGGGTAGCACCCTTCACTGGGCAGGTAAAAAGACACAGCCAGTGGCTCCCCCGCCAAGGATTGGGAGAAAATACTCCCTCCTTTCTACGTGAGTATGGGTACATGAACCCAAAATGAGCACTCAAGCTCCACTGTCCAGTGTTCACCATGATATGCATGCAGGAGTAAAGGGCACTTAAGGCTATGGAAGGTGACCCAAAAATGCCTCAGGGTGCCTACCAATGAAGTTCTTAAATTCCCTTACTAATCCAAAAACCCTACAGTGTGGAGTAGGCCATGGGTTCCCAAACCATAAACTGTGGTCTTATTATGTTCATATAAAAACACAAGAAAAGACCTGCTAGATCTAGCCAAAGGTCCATCTGGTCCAGCAACCTGTTCTCACAGTGGACATCCAAATGCCTATGGGAAGTCAACATGCCAGATCTGAGTGCAAAAGCACTCTCACAACTCACAATTCCTAGCAACTGATATTCAAAGGCAGAGTAGAAGCAGAAACATAGCCATTGTGGCTAGCAGTCACAGTGATACCCTTACCCTGCATGAATCTGTCTAATCCTCTTTTTAAAGCCATCCAAATACTTGAGGGTACCAACAAAGTCCATTAATAAATTTTCTTTGAAAAAGCTGAATGGAGTACATGTCTTTATTTTCCTCAGATGGCTTCATATCTCTTAATGCTTATGGGCCCAAGGTTAGGGTGGTCTGAGTTCTCTTTGGGAGAGTGACTCAATTCATATGTGTGTTTGCTATTAATGGCATTGTAGGTGCTTCCTCCTGTACATGTCCAATGCTGATTATAAATCCCATTTATTTCTCCCGTTCTGTCAGCTATGGCCCCAAATGCTGCTCAAATATACTGTGATGACAAAGAAATCTCGTTGCTGATTAGATTGAATCACACATCTGGTCTTCCTGCTCAACCCTGTAGGAAATGAGTGTTCAGAGAGAGTTGCCAACCCAGCCTTGGAAGATCAAACAACATCTGGTCCCTTCTGACGGAATGAAAGAATGTATGTAACCTTAATCATGGCCCACAGGGTTGGATGGGTAAATTGCTTCACTGGCAGCCAAACATCAAAAAACAGGACAGATGGACCAAACCAATCATCACCCTGAAGAGAGGAAATCCTAACACAACAGTGTCTACATCAGGGGTGAGGAGCCTTTTGCAGGCAGAGGGCTGCAATACCCTAGTTGAAAGTTGGCCACAGGTGCATTCCATAAGGAGGTGGGTCCTGCTCTAAAACTGAGTGGCGTTAAACAGGCATCTGACAGGAACGTGATGATACTGTGTTAAAACACACATAGGGACACACAATCTCACACAGAGAGAGATTTAAAGAATCACACATAGGCCACATTCACATAATACATTTAAAGAAGAAGAAGAGAGTTTGGATTTGATATCCCGCTTTATCACTACCCGAAGGAGTCTCAAAGCGGCTAACATTCTCCTTTCCCTTCCTCCCCCACAACAAACACTCTGTGAGGTGAGTGAGGCTGAGAGACTTCAGAGAAGTGTGACTAGCCCAAGGTCACCCAGCAGCTGCATGTGGAGGAGCGGAGACACGAACCTGGTTCCCCAGATTACGAATCTACTGCTCTTAACCACTACACCACACTGGCTCTCTCTCTCTCTCTCTCTTTTTCTTTTCTATTTTTTATTGTTAAAATAATTCAACATTAATACACATACAAACATACATTTCATACAACATACCTACATACATACAACATACATACAACGTACCTACACTCAATCCCACAGATAATTCCCATCACCATCCACCACCCCTCACCCTTTGTGTTAGACTTCCAATCTACTCAATTGCAATTTCTTTCCACTTCTATTACTTTCTTTCACACACCTTTAACCTAATTTCATACTTCTTTTTCTATTACACATTGTTATCCATCTTATTTAGTATTCCAATATTTGAAACGAAACTTGTTTATTCTAATAGGAGTTCTGATTTTTTGATATAGTTTTGCAAGTATCTTTTAAACACCTTCCAGTCCCTGTCTGCCTTCTCTTTTGAGATCCTTCCAATTTCTCCCATTGTTTTGGATATATTGTAGTACTCCAATACTACAATTGGAGTACCACACTGGCTCTCTTAAAGCAGCATTATACCACATTAAACAGTCACGGCCTACCCCATAGAATCCTGGGAAAGGCAATTTGTTAAGGGTGCCGAGAGTTGTTAGGATACCCCATTCTTCTCAGGGAAATACAATTCCCAGAGTGGTTTAACAATCAATCCCTCTTTACAGAGAACTCTGGAAACTGTAGCCTTTGCCTGGTTGTTACAGTTGATCTGAGCCGAAAGGCCAAGACATAAAAGAAAGCTTAGCAGGCTGAATAGGATGTGCTTTTGCTCCATCATGTCTGCAGTACCTGCAGACTAATTCATAAAGAGGTTAAGTGTCTCTGTTGTGCCAGAGTGGAAGTCAGATTTTTATGTGTGTTGTTTGTTGCAATATAATTGTTGCAATATGTTAAATTTATCTGCATTCTATAAGTATTTTGTATTTCTAGTCGCATTGAATTGTGAGGGTCCGTGACTTGAAGCAATAAAGATTCAGTATCAATATCCAAACTGCCTACATGTGCATTGGGGGGCGGCGGTGGGGGGGGGAATTATTTTTTGTAGGTGGCTACCTGCCCAGGAGACATATCCCAAAAGCCTGTGCAAGGCCAGAAAGGACAAGAAAATGAAGTGGGAGAAAAATGTCATGATGTGTGGGTGTGAGTGACTGCAGAAAGAACATGTATACTACTCCTTAAATGAAGAGCAGAATGCAAAGAGACTGCATTTTTTTAATGGCTTCCAGAGATGATTGCAACACCTCCTACCTTTAAGAGCTATGCCATGAACACAGGAGCATTTGAAATGCCTTGTTGGTTCCAACCTCAGAAATCTCACAGAGGCCATGAGGGAAATATATGATATTCTGCACCCCTAATATCTGGTACACTGAAACAAATGGAAACAAGCTCAAGAATACACTCAGTTATGTTCCCTCAAATTAATAAATAGCTTATTCCATTTATGAACTAGTTCTAGGAGCTCTTCAAAGTAGTCCTAGAAAAGTAAGAGAGAAAGTTGTATGTGTACATGGAAACCCTACAGGGAACCCTTTCTTAATCCAGGGATCTTGTAGTGCATGGGGGACACAGATGAGGATGAAGTTCAGGCTGCTTCATCAGGCAGAAAACCATTGCTTCCCTATTTGGAAGCAGCCACTGAGTAGCTCCATCTTTCTAGTCCCATGAAAGTTGAAGCCTGCAGGATAAGATGAGGGGCCTTTAAGAACCCAGCAGTTCCTCCAGGAAGGCAGAACCTAGCATACTCAAGGTCTCATCATAAGGATTCAGTTGGCTCCAGATCCATGCTGAGGCAACATCTTCCTATGGTTGCCTTAGAAGTGAGAACAGCAGCGGGTCTCTCCTTTGAGCTGTCCAAAGTCCTGTTATTTGTCTGCCCTCTGCTTTCTCCTCACAATGTCTGTTTCCTTTGCATCCACCAAGTTCCTTGTGAAACTGGACACTTTTGTGTTCCAAGAGATACATTTTTAATGAAGGTGCTATCTTTTTGAGTTGAGAACTGTGCCACAGCATTTAGAGAAGTGTGCAAGCTAACCTCAGGCTGAGAACTGCATCAAACCATGTGGAGAAAACCAGCCAGAACCCAATTCCAAACTGAGACCAGGAAGCCCACCACCCATGGAAAGATCCCCTGTGGGAGTGGGCTGT